GCATTTCGCAGCCAAGAAATTTCGTAAAGTCTAAGTTCAAGTCTAAGTCTAAATTTCGTAAAGTCTACATTTTCAGTGCTCTTGAAAAAGCAAGAAAATCATAAAAATACTTAGTTCGTTCGGCTTTCAACCAGAATGTGAATCATTCAAATCCTTCGCGTACTCTTGAATTTTCAAAAGCAGGAACTTTTTTCTGAATCACCCGGTATGATCATGTATGATCTAGATGAGTCAGAAAAGGCTTGCAAAGTCATAATCCAAATACCTGAACAGTAGGTTAGCCACTGTTTGAAAAACTTGATGACCTAAAATGATGTTTGGTACAACCAAATTCAGAAATTAACCTACGCAACCCACTAGTTAGCAATCAAAATTTATTTTACAAGCGAAGTTTTCTAGGTTTTATGGCAAACTGATTGACAAGTTCAACCAACTTAATATCCTGAGAAAGGTCTCTTTCGCTGCTGATGAGCAGTAAACTCTCAAGACGGTCTTCATCCATTTTAGCACGCAGGTAATTGTTTATTATCTTTACCTTGCTGTGGCATCGTTCGCAGCTGGCAATGGTCACGGGTATGGTTGCAGCAATCTGGATGACGCGAAAGAGGTTTGGATAGAGGGTAGCAAGATCTCCTTCTGAAAACTTTTTAAGGATAAGGGGCAGGTATGGATTTTTGAACATCTTTGCCTTTCTCTCCTCTATCTCTTGCAGCAAGCTTTCGAAAAATCCTGAATCCCGGAACATGGAGTACTCAAGACCAACTGCTTCTTGGGGGATATCATATCTACTGGCAAATTTCTTTATTTTGGTAACGTTAGCTTCATTCCATTTGGAAGGACAAAGTGCAGAAAGTTGAACCATCACTTCGCAGGCCTCAGAAGAAAATCTTTTCTGCAACTCGTTTAATAAAAGATCCAAAAGAGTGTAGTAGAAACTTCGGCGGAAAGTATCTTCTTGTGATTCTGCTTGAATATTCTCAGTTTCAGCACCAATTCTATAACTGAAGGAGGCATCAAGCACGGTTTGACCATCAACTAAACGACTTGGTAATGTGCGGCGTCTTTTATCTGGTGGACTGAAATCATCAACGATTCCAAATTCGGCTGCTCTTTCCTTTGCCATCTGCACAAAATCAGAAAGCTTCTGTTCAGTGCGGAGCGAAGAAATTTGTCGGATAAGGGTTGTGACTGAGTCTACTGCAGTGACCATATCCATCTCTTCTCTCTGCAGATACTCCGATGCATATCTTGAACGATCAAAACATTCTTTCAGAATCAGCACCTTCAGTAGGAACTCAAAGGTACCAATTCTGATCAACAGACCTTCACAAGCTGCGTCGCTGGATTTCAGCTCTTCGAGTGTGGCAATCAGGGCTGGTAGGGTGTTGACTGTGGCGGCAAGATTGTCTGCCCTTGCGGTCCAACGGGTGTCCGAAAACGCACGAAGAGCAGTTCTACCTTCTTTGACTGAAAACTTTTTGAGGTTTTCCTCATAAACAGCCATGCGTTGTGGAGAACCTTCCATCACCGTGAAAATCGACCCAATTGTTTCAAAGACATCTTTGACCATTGGAAGTGTCTCAGCACACTTTCCTAGAACCAAATTGAGACGATGTGCGAAGCAATGGAAGTAGAGTGACATGGTTGCACCAGCCTCTGTAAGCTTCTGCTGCATTCCATTGTCTTTTCCAGACATGTTGCTAGCACCATCAAAGCCTTTTCCAATCATGTCCTTCAACAGAATTTGATGCTTGCCAAGCTCTTCAACTAGGACGTCTGACAGCGACTTTCCTTTCAAACTTTGGACGTGTTTAAGTCCAACAACACGTTCGTAGATAGTGTGCTCGTGAACATATCTGAGCACAATCGACATGTAGGAATCCTTGTGACTTGTGACTTCGTCACATTCCACAGAATAGAATCTGCTCTTCTTTACCTGTTCCCTAATGGTCTCGACCACATTATCAGAAATGATACTTATCATCTCGTTCTGAATGTCATTGCTGAGCCAAGAGACGTTTTCAGGATGGCTATCGAGCCACTTTTGAAGTGGTGCATGATATTTTGCGAGAAACTTTATCTCTTCAAGAAACTTCCCCTGGTTTAAAGACGTTGACTTCTCGTCGTGTCCACGAAAAGCTTCGTTTTGCAATGCGATGTGTTGCACTACATCAAAAATAACGGCCGCAATTTCTCTGTTCTCTTTCTTCTCTTGCTCCTTTCTTGATGCATTTAGAGCTTCTGCCTCCGAAAACTGAACATTTATTGGCGTAAGTGTTCTTCTACTTATTGCCCTCTCTCTGCTCAGTTGATGCATTCTCGATTTGATATGCTTCTCTATTTTACCTTCCTTTCCCAAGGCGTTCTTCCAGTTTCGAGAACCCTCCTTGATGAAAGGGGTTTCGGCACAGCCAACTGAAAAATTAACGATAGAATAAATTGCAATATTTATCGAAAATCCTTTAAATATACGATAAAGTGATTACTGTCTGGTCGTCGTTTCTGCATATGTAAACATATTTCAATTGCATCCAATCGTCAAAAACCTATCAAAAAAATTGCTTCACGGTGGTTATAAACCTACCCGTAAGAAAGAAAATTGAATAAAATCAGTTATTCTAATTTGGAAAAGCCAGACGAGAAAGGGTAAATCAAGTAAACCATACTGTCACTTACCAAGAGTCCCAAAAATCCTGCAGTAGAAGCAGTACATTGCATCGTTTTCCACAGAATACTCCAACCAGTCATATGTACTGTACCATTTCTTCTGAAATCTATAGTCCCTACCTCCAAACTTTGTAGCAGGGAAATCGATAACGGGTTGTATGGGTCCAAGCGCGAGTACTTGGTCGATGTTTACTACATTTTCCGTCGCAGGGTCACGAAGTGTACTTGAAGCCATTGCAAAATGTTTGAAAAAAACTGTCTCTTCGCCCCTTTTTATTTCCTTTTTTCTTCACCAAAAATGGAAGCAGTGTAATATGTCACGTGATACTTATCAAATTGAGCGGAGCAGACCATATTTAGCCTGCGTGCAGATTCCGTCCCGTAAAGTTTCTACCCACACAAAGAGGTAACGTTTTCATGTTAAGCGTCATCAATAAAGCACTTCATTATGTGGATTAAGATTTGAATACTTTCCATAATCCAATTTCCTTGTGATGATAGCAATCCAATACAGATGTATGACCTCATAGATCACTTACAATTATTCGAATCAAAGGAGAACTATAAATTGCCATCACATAATTCAATTACGTAATCTCCTCCTGGCATTTCTCGGAAAAATTATTACCCAACCTATACCCCGCCATTTTCTCTTTGATTTTAAAGGAATCTCGAGGACCATCTTTTGGCAAAAGTGGGGGGGCAATTGCCCCCCCATACCCCCCCGTGGCCACGCCAGTGCTGGCGTCTACCTGATTCAACAGTGGATGAGGGATTTCGAACGTGGGAAGTCAGCAGGGTGACCAAACGATCAGTTTCGGGATCAGTTAATCACTTGTGACCTTGCCACCCATCAGATGAAGATATGCACAAGGGAACTTGCCAGAATCCAGGTCCTACACTTCAAAGGACACGGGATCAAATCTTTTTCTGAAACTTGTGCAGAGCCACGCCACTTTGGTCCGAGGGGACGAGATACCATCTCTTTCAACCACAGCAACTGCTAGCCAACACCAAGGTTCCTCTAGCATGCCGATTGTAGGACTTTGAGTAAATCCCTTTGGCATCTCTGGAAGCTGTAACAGCTGCACATCGGGCAAGTCTCAACTGTTCCTGAAAGTCCATATCATCATTAAACACAACCTCATTAGCTGAACCAACTGGGAAGTAGGAATGCCTCCCAGTGAGTAGGTAGATGGGTTGTTTGTTCTCCAGTCAATCTGTGTATAGCAGAGTAAGACATAATTCTGTCACATGCCAGAGCTGCCTTAACCACGCGATTGGTGTGCTCAACTAGGACATTTGTTCAAGAGGGTAAAGTGCCACGGGAGCTTCAGCCATCAGAACTCTCTAGGGTACTCCTCATGACTATTTTTTTTTTTTTTTTTTTTGGTCTGATTTTCGAGGCAGAGCCTCGCCCGGGCTATGCCCATGAGGGGAGCCCGTTTTAGTCATGACTATTGACAGTTGGTGCACTATTCCACAAACTCTCGGACATCATGGAGTATGTTGGGACAATAACATATGCTATGGAGGTTCTCATATAGCCTATAGATCCCTGGGTGCATAGCAAGTGGAGGGGTGAGTGTAGCCTGTAGGGCCGATTTATGGAGTTTCTCTGGAACACATTTGGTAAATAATCTTGTTAGGCAGGTGTTTTAAGTGATACAAGATCCCCATTCTGAGAGCAGAAAATGTGGATTTCACTTTGGCATGGTTCCATCTGCCAAGAAAGCAAGGGTTCCATAGTTCATAGGGCCTTCCTTATAGCTTATCTCAAAGTCATAGAAGTCATCGTGAGCATACCAGGAGATTTGGTTTAATGTTTAAAGATGTTCACTAATGGACGATGATCTGTGAGAACCAAGACCTAAACACCCTCAACCACTGCTGTACCAAGGGCTATACTGCTAGCATCAGTGTGCAGCTCAAATTGTCAAGGAAAATCTGGCTGCTGGAGCACAGGTGCTAATACTAGCTTCCTTTTCAGCTCCTTGAATGTTTCTTCTTGTTCCTCATCCCACTTCCAGGCCTGCCCCTTTTCAAGGAAGTAAAGTGGCGCTGCAATGGTTGCATATGCTTCTATGTGTTTGTGAAAGAAACCTGTGGCTTCCAGGAATCTATGTACCTCCTTTGCAGTCTAGGGTGCAGGGGTTTAATTGACAGCAGTTATCTTGCTCTAGTCTTGTGCCACTCCTTCTTGGGATATAGTGAACTTAGGAAGTTGGTGGTGGCTGCAAAGCTGCACTATCAAGGTTCAGCTTCAACCCTGCTGCTGCCAGAAGCTTCAGGGTCTCCTCAGATCGAGCAGGTGTTGAGAGAAACCCCTTGAA